CACAGTGGACACACGTCCTCAAAGTGGACACACGTCCTCACAGTGTAAACACGTCCTCACAGTGGACACATGTCCTCAAAGTGGACACATGTCCTCACAGTGTAAACATGTCCTCACAGTGTAAACATGTCCTCAAAGTGGACATATGTCCTCACAGTGGACATATGTCCTCACAGTGGACACACGTCCTTGTACAGCTGAAGTCCCGTCACAGCTGTCCCCACTGGTGTGTCCTGGACCCCGACCCTGGTCCTCACTGTAGTTCTGCAGACTTATGAGGACACACTGATCCTTGTAATCATGAGGACCTGCTGTTTGCACTCTACACCTGTGCAGGTGATACTGTTTTTGTTTCTCAGGTCTTCGTGGCATGAAGATGACCTCACCAACCACGACCCTGACTCCAAGGTGAGACAGCAACATTAATAATACCTGATTCTGTCAAATAAATAAAAACTCTGTCACTCTGACTGGGGCCACAGCGCCCCCTGTGGTTATTGTTCATCTACACAGGTAATAAATTAAGGGCACATTTGACTTCCTGTGTGAACATGATGAAAATGATGGAGAGGTTTCTGGAACGACGTGTTGAACACAGAAACGAGAGGTCCTCGTTGGCCCAGGACCTATTCTGGTGCTCTAATCTGCGCTAATCTCACTCTCTCTCTCTTTGTTTGTGTCTGTGTCTCTCGACCTCGTTTTATTGCGCATTAATCTGATTTAATCTCTCTGCCTCTGTGTCCTGGTTTCTGTTTGTCACCCATCAACCTACTGTCTCCCCCTCCACCTGTCTCCCCCTCCACCTGTCTCCCCCTCCACCTGTCTCCCCCTCCACATGTCTCCCCCTCCACCTGTCTCCCTCTCCACCTGTCCAGTGTTTTGCCGTGCGCTCCCTCGGCTGGCTGCAGGTGGAGGAGGAGGACCTTTCTCCTGGTCGCAGCAGCCTCGCTGTTAGTAACGTCATCCAGCAGCTGTCTCACTGCAGCAGCCCCGAGCAGAGAGACCGGCTGGGTGCCTGGGGGGAGGTGAGACACCTCTGCTGCCCTCCTGTGGCAGGATGCAGGAAGTGCACGTGTGTCCTGTGGAACCTGTTTATCAGTGGTGTGATGCACCTGTCCATCCACCTGTCTGTCTGCAGGGCCGCGAGATGATGCTAGTTCTGAAAAAAGACACCCTGACCCTGTTGGACCCATTAGACCACACCCCCCTGCACTGTCAGCCAATCATCAATATCCGTGTTTGGGGGGTGGGCTGCAACAATGGCAGGTGAGCCAATCAGAGAGCGTATTTCCCCGCTTCCTGTGTTTGTGCTTCGCTGAGCTGAACTCCTGGTTTGTGCTCCTGCATGCTTCGGTTTGTTTACACTAACTCTCTGTTTCTTTGCCACGCCCCCCTCACACCTGGGCAGGGACAGGTAAACCACTACCCTTACACTCACAGCCTCCTCCACACGTCAGGGTCATTTATCGAGTTCAGCTGCTGATCACCACCTGATCGGTCCGCTGTGTGTGTGTGTGTGTGCGTGTGTGTGTGTGTGTGTGTGTGTGTGTGTGTGTGTGTGTGTGGTGCATTCAGGGACTTTGCGTTCGTGGCGGGGGATAAGGACAGCTGTGTGCTGAAGTGTCACGTGTTTCGCTGCGACGCTCCAGCCAAAGCCATCGCCACGGCGCTGCATGAGATGTGCTCAAAGGTCAGTGGAGGTCACCCACATCTCAGGGTCACCTGCAGCTGTGGGTCAGCTGGTTTACCTGAGAGGTCAGAGGTCAGTGTTTTTCACTTCTCTACACTGTGTTTAGATGATGTCTGAGAAGGCTCTGGTGAGGCCGTCCCGCTCCCTGACCATGGAGAGCATCTCACCTGAGGACCTGCCGAGACAAGGTGAGTCCCCTGCTGTGCGTCCTTAGTGTAGACGCTGCGCTCTGATTGGTCCTGCACTACTTTTGGCTGATTACTGATCTTGCTGTTGTTTCAGTGGAGTTTCTGGAGGCAGTGCGGCAGCAGGTGCAGAAGTTTGAGGTCCAGTACATCGGCAACCTGCCGGTGTCGCGAGCCATGGGTAGGACATAAACACACCTGTCACAGCTGGGCTGAGCTCAGCCATTAATATGCATTCACTGGAAACACTGGTGCCACGATATACACTCATGTACAGCACGCACACACAGGTGATCATTCAGACAACCATGATGCAGACTGTCAGCTTTAATTCAAGCGACTTAACAAAACACTGCTCTAATTATTTAGGATCATTTTTATACGCGGCTCAGCGAGTCTCCCACGTGAGACCAGCTGAGTCCTGGTCATGACCTGCTCGGATCAGCTGAGCGACCTGAAGCCACAGGGAACATCTGACGTGGACGATCGCAGCTGTCGAGGTCTCTGATCAGGAGGGTCTCCGTGGAAATAAAACCCTCTGTGAATGTTTGGTGTGACCAGTAGGTTTTCTTAAAGGAGTATATTGTGTGATTAAAAGGTTAAAGGTCGCTGATGTGTGTCGCAGGTATGGAGGTGTTGAACCGAGCGATAGAAAGCATCATGAACTCCACAGACCGAGACGACTGGGAGCCGACAGTGATCCACGTCACCGATAATGTCCTGTCTCTGTGGAAAGGACAGGTACAGTCCTCTGCACATAGACTTCAGGTCAAAGGTCATCATGGCTGTGTTTAACCCTCCTCCTGTCGTGCTCACAGGACGGCGACGAGCCACTCTGGGAGTGTCAGGTACGCTTCCTCACCTTTCTGGGCGTCGGTCACGACAGCCACACCTTCGCAGTGATCGTGGACGGCGGCACGCAGCAGTTTGAATGTCACGTGTTCTGGTGCGAACCGGACGCTGGGATCCTCTCCGAGGCCGTGCAGGCTGCGTGCATGGTGAGAGACGCAGGTCTCTGACATCACACTGATCACCTGATTCACACTCAGAGTTTTGGTTTGAGGAGTTTGTTGATATGTTGGATAAATATTGATCATAAGAATAAATCCTTCCTCTGGCGCCCTCTGCTGGCTGCTGTTGCTCCTTCAGGTCCAGTATCAGAAGTGTCTGGTGGCTCAGACTCCTCCCCCAAGGATCAAATCATGGCGTGCAAACCCGTCAAAGGTGAAACGGGCCAACTCCATGGATGGCGCCTTCCCTCCCCTCACATCCCGTCACCATGGCGGCAGCAGCTCCAGCATGATGGCGCAGAGGATGGCGAAGGGTAGCGGCAGCAGCAGCAGCGTGAGGAAGGGCATGATGGCGTTTTTTGAAACTTTCCGCAACAAACAGGCCGCCACGTCCTAATGATGAAGGCGGGACCACCAGAGCCCCCAGGGGTCAGGGTAGCTGATTCTCCAGACATGTTACCCCTGACCACGCCGGGCCTCCAGACCGGCCTCTGATTGGCTGAACTCTGTGCACACAGGGCTCTGGTGGTCCGCCTGGCTGAGTGACATCACCAGCAACTCCAGAACACGATGCTCGCCAAAGGACCACAAACACACCTGAGTCAGTCGCTGTGATTCAGCCTCTCCTGCTGGTGCAGCTGATCAGCAGGACGAGTGACGAAGTCGATCAAAGTTAGCAGGTTCATCGCTGAAAACATCCACACCATAAACAAGGCTGAGCCCTGACCTTTGACCCCTTCAGCTCCATCTGTGCACATAGAACCGAGGTTATGAGTCGTAACTGAAGTTCATTTTCTTGTTTCCTGTCATCACAGCTCCTCCCCTCGAGGGGCGGAGTCACATCTGCTCCTCTTAGTGGATCAAGTTTCCATCATCAGATTAACTGTGAGGCGTTTGGTTTGAGAGGTAACATCATCAGTCACTGTGTGACTGCCACAGCCTCACCTGAACTCTCCAGGGTCTGTCACCACTACAAGCACAAACGAGGGAGGAGCAGAGGAGGTGGTGATCAAAGGGTGACAGTGAAAATCCGCCCACGTTAGTAAAAAGGAGCGCTTCACATCCAAAGCGCGGGTGGAGGAAGACTTCCTGTAAACAGAGGACACGTAGCAAGAACTGTAGAGACGCGTCTGTTTGTTCTGCTTTGAGCTTCATTATCGTGTTTTAAAGCTGCGCTGACTAACTCGGCCACCAGAGGGCGACGAACACGTGCTGGAGAAACAGAAGATAAACGGGCCTGTTTCCTGTGCTGAAAGCAGCAGTTTGCATGCAGGCATGAACTGAAACAAATGCCACGCCCACAGTGACATCTGACTCTCCTTCTGCTTCCTGATTGGCTGACGTACCCTTAAATAGAAGCTGTGCTGTATTTACTGTTATTAGGTAAGATTGAGTTTCTGAGCATCTGACAGACTGTCGTTGTTTCCTCGCAGTCAAAGTGATCAATGATGTCATGTATAAATGAACCAATAATAAACTGATAAAAACATTTGTTTCTGGCATGAAACTCGAGCAACAGCTGTTTAAAGAAATAACATTTATTTTTTACACATTAAATTAAATAAAAATGTAAAAAAACATTTATAATGAATATAAATATTTTAAAAGTAAGCACAAAAAATCATACAAATAATAAAAATATTAATAAAATCCTATTAATAAAAAATGTAAAACATTATTATCTATGAAACAATAACACATATAATGGGAAAGAAAAATCGATATTATTGTTTGTGTAAAACAAAAATAACAAATAAAATAATAAAACAGAAACAGTTAAAAACGATTTTAAAAAGTGAAAATAAAATATTAAAAAAAGACAGAAAAACAGAACAAAATATTGAAAAATTAAAATACGTTCAAAGATGATAAATTATTAAAAAAAAAATATAAAGAGATGAGGCTGAATGTTATTGATCAGTGATCAGTTTGTATGAGCAGATATCTCTGAAGCAGGGTGAAATCTGCAGACTTTATTTGGCTTCCTGTGAACCAGTCTGAGCCCAAAGCCTGCAAGAAAAACAAACAGGAAGCCACCATCAGTGGAGGAGGAGGAGGAGCAGGAGGAGCAGGAGGAGCAGGAGGAGGAGACCTCTGACCTCACCTCCTCGTCTGCTCTCCTCAGCCCGTCAGTCGTCTGTCAGCTCACCGGAGAGAAAATCAATGATTTAGCAGAAGTTTGTCTTCAGCTGGAAGGTGAGTTCAGATTCTGTCACACCAGACTCCATGTAAAAACCACACGTTTAAAGGCTCTGTGATGACTGCGTGTTTCTTACAGGCGGGCAGCAGACTGAGGTCAAAGTTTCCTGGATTCTGGCGTTTTTTTGCAGTGAGGTGGGTTAAACAGAGACGAACTGAAGAGACGACACTTTGAAAATGTAAAATTCCAGAAGTGTAAAATGAATTCGTTTGGAATTCTTAGGGTTGCTTGTAAAACCTTAAATTGCAGGATTCGTGAATGGAGTCTGGTTATTTGGTTAAAATGAACTTTCTGCTACAAGTTGTCTGGTAATAAAGTAATGACGACTAAACTGAAGCTCTGAGGTAATTATGGGAAACACTGAGTCCCCGTTCAAACATCTGAAAGCTTCTTTGTGTCTCAGCTGGAAGTTTTGTGCTATGCAGACGGTAAATAAGGCTCAGCTGACGCCAACAATGCTGAGTGTGAATAAAGACAGTGTTGACAGAGAGGTGGAGGTCTGTGGGAGCAGATTGGATTATGGAGCTGTGAGGCAGCATTCACTGACCTGACTCTGACTCACGGGACGCGTCAGCATCCACGGCTGACAGCCGCTCAGTGTCTCTGCTCTCCTCTTCTACAGCGACACCATCAGCCCACCGTCCCTCCAGGATGAGCGCCGAGCCTCCGCCGTACCGTCCTCACTTCCCTGAGGGACCCTCGGCCCCCGCCTTC